ATTGCGTTCTACCCTCAGACTGCTCTATTCTAGGGGTGAAATTCAATATACTGGCAAACTTGCTCATAGATTGATTGACACTATCTTTTACTAGTTTCAGGATATCATCAAATTTTGGCTCGATACCCTCATCTTCCATACGGGAGCTTATCTTCACCCACTTCCTTTGCAGTCGAGTAGGTAGGCGTCTCGCTATTACTTCTAGTATAAAACTCGAGTTGTGATCATTCATGCAATTCATATAGGTCAAGGTATTCTTATAAGTCATAAGATTATCTAAAAACTCACTAAGTGCCTTGCAGCCATCTTGAAGTTGACTGCTGTTACCTTTGACAGATTCGTATACGTTCCTTACAATCATTGAAGTTCTTCCAAACCTTTGACTTAGTATGCTCATGGCCTCGTAGTAGCCCTCTTTTGGCTTCATAAACTTACAACACTGTAGCTCTTGCAGCAACTTCAGTGCATTACCCCATCAAATACATTAACTTCATTTCATCAGTTAATATAAAACCTTTCAACATGATCTCAAACATCTTTACAAACTGTAAATAATCAGCTGAGTTTCCATCGAAACACCGTGGTTCAAATTTAGGGAGTTTGATGTTCCTATTATCCCTGAACGGCGAAACAGTAACATCAACCCTGTCATGCTTAACATCAGACACGTCGTTACAATTAACAGACAAGTCATCATGACTTACTTTCCTGCTAGCATCCAAGACACTCTGTCCCTTCTTTGACCCAGGCATTGTTGAACTTGACCCAATTCCAACAATGTTCCAAATATTGCTTGTTCAAAGAGGACTTGGCCGGCACCAGGAAAGATGAACGATGACTATCCAAACTTTCACCAACTGTCTGAATCCGTCAGAAAATGTTTCCGCCGTCAGAAACTGACTTCACCGTCAGAAACTGTCAGTCACGTCTTGTAAACCGTTAATGCCCAAGTCTTGCTACGCTCGGGCTCACGCTGTTCCTTGAAGTTTTTCAGAAACGCTTAGAAATAACGGACGCAATAGCCAAAACACCAATGGGCGACTCGAGGATTCTTTATTGTAACGCCAACATATAAAAAAGTTTACCACTATGATTTCTGACGGCTCTTACTCTTCTTTCTGAACAGCGACCGATGAGACGATGACTGTCGTATTGATGCCTCCGCGAAAATTGGGGAAGTTGGTTTTGAGCAAACAACCATGAATTGATCGTTCAATCTTCAGCTACATTGACCATGGTATTTTGTCTGCTCACCATCTTAAGAGACTCTGTTATGTTATCTCCTAACAGCTATGGCTCAGTTAATCAAAATCACAACTCTGAGGCTTAGACTGTTATGGATGTATATATTAGACGACCTTCGTATGCGGCAGTTAACTTGAATCCGTTGGACGCGGTTGGAGTTGACGAGAGTCAAAAATCGGTCTTCTCTGAACTGTTCAATCGAAGACTTTGTTTCATGGGATACCATTTTATCACCTGGATACTTACTCGATACAACAACTTTTATGGATTTGGTGATTTCTTCTCCAGTTTCAACATCTTTACACCTTGATTTGATGAATGCTGGTCTTTTCTTGACAGTACTGTACTGTGTCCTCTACTCCTGATCGTCTTGGGTTCGTAATGTTTTTCGTAATTGTTTTGCATGAATTACTGCCTTCCTACATTTAAATAAATAAATAAATTTATTCTCATAGTACAGTGCATCATTGACGCCAGTTTATAGGCATCATCAAATTGTTTCAGAAAAAGAACCATATTATTCAGTCACAATTTACTGGCGGTAGCAAGATATGTTTTAAATGTACGCTGGAGACTATACTTACACTTGATAAATGTTAATCTCAATAGTATAATACATCCTTTTCACTTATGTACAATCATTTCCGTGCACAGTTTTCTTTTGATGGACAAGTCGCAAAATGTAACTGGTTTCGGAACTAATATTTGAGTTGGTACTGTTGAGCTTCTGTGACAGTATTTCGGCTTGATGCACAAAAATCTACACACCTTCAGCGAAATGCACTTTTGGTGGTCACAGACTTCAAGGTATTGATTCCTAGATGGAATGTGGAAATTTTCACTAATATTGGACTAAGTGGAATGCCAGTTGTCCGTCCACCCACTTATAGGCGTGACGTGCAGTTAGGTTTCAAAAATGAGTCCTTGGCACAAAGAAGCAGGCGACGTCTGCGCGTTTATATCTGCAGGAAACAAATGTCATTTATCAGCACGCACAAGACATATCAATACAGGCGTATAAAGTTAAGCGCCCCCAGAATAAAATATATTCATTTAGACATACAGAAGACGAGTTGACTCAGCAAAGAAATATTTACCTTTTGATTATATCCTCGTCTCTTAATATGACACCATACAAACCTATTTGAACAAAACATATTAATATAATTTGCTTTCGTTTTCAGGAAATTGCCTGGGATCAATTTTATAACATGAAAGGAGAAACAACTGCTAATATCTGATAATAAGGAAGACGAAAAAGAATGATGGTTTGTGTAGACTGGCCCAATACACTCTAATTTTCGAAATTATAATAAAAACACGTTTCTCGAAGGTTGTGTTCCGCCTTCCTCATGTGACTGCTCGTCAGTGTGTTGTATTAGTACGGTACAGAGAGGTATACCACCCGGACGACAATAAGTTTACTAACAATAGTTAGTTAACAGCAGCACGTCACGGGGTGGCGACTGGTTAGTTCTGCCAAGTAGTTCAAATAGAGTTATTCTTCCTAGTTGCTGTCCGAAGCTTTTCCCAACCCTTTTCTGGCTACCGCTACGGACAATAAACTTCGTTGAAACGGCGCTCCAGTGCTTCCATTTTCCCTAATCGATGTTTTTTATGACGAAATCCAGTTTCATTTCAAGACACAATGGAGTAAATATATTATTGAATACATATCTGATAGTAAAAAGGATTTTAGAATTGTATACTGATATAACTCATTTTTAACTTAAGCGGCTGGTCAGCTAGATTTTTAATGGCCCTGGCTTTCACTTACTGATACCTGTTATTCTCACGACTCGTCTATCATTGAGTGAATTATTCCCTAGAGCAGCAGACCAAAACTCCTCTGCATCATTCGAACCGAATTCCCATCCTGCTGCATTCTACACATTTTAATGTATTAGTTGTTGATATCTTCCATGATTTAAAGATGTCAGAGAACCAGTTTCCAAAGTAATAATCGATACCGTTTGTGTCTCATCTAAACAGATGTTTTACAACTCAGTGAGTAGATTACAGGTAAAGAAGAAGCAGGAGTAGATTGCGAACAGCAGCTTTTAAAAAGAAACGCAAGCCAGTAGGTGATATTGTGCCACCATGCGAGAAATTTACCAGCTGTGGAGGATACTGAAACCAGAAAATCCCAGCTCGCACACTGTTTCTTGACCTGGAAAAATCTTTCAGCTTTGTGCTCTTCCATGGAAAATCCCCTAGAAAGGGGTCAACGAACTGTTACAACGTACTTGAATTGTGGGAAATTTTGGATGAATGAGAACGGTGTACACAATCCGTTCAGAATGTCGACCACTGAGGTTTCGCAAGCAGCAGTTCTTGGTCCACCGTTACCCTTGATTCTTAAAGCAGATCTTCTCTGAGGCGATTCTATTTGCTTAGAGTTGAGGTGGGCAGTGATAAAATAAAGAGAAAGCGCTCAAGTTGCTGGAAGATCTGACCAATCAGAATATCTGAGCCACAGTTAACTGGCTACACTCCAGACTGAAAATAACAGACAGTGTTTATCTGTTCACTAATCGAACACGTAATCTACCACTGCTAATGCAGAGACAAACTCAAGAATAGCCTTTGTCTACTTCTGACAGAAAAGCTGGATACTAGTTTAACAACAGAAGACAAGGGCCAGGCAACAGATCGTTTTATTATGAAAATCAACACGTATTTATACATATTTCAACTACATTATTATAGACAAGCGCAGTCATCTGATTGGTTGTTTATCAGAAGTTAGGTAGACAAACGTAGGCTTCTGATTGGTTGTTTCGGGATTCCTTGACAAATAGAGTTCTCTATCTGCGAATCATATTTTGCCACGTTAACTTTGCTGTGATTGGTTGTTGACTCAGCCTTGTTCATATTTTCTCACGGCCCATATTAGTGACCTAGACCTTAACGTAGATTAGTGCCAACCAATCGGCTAGCAGCCTGCTCTCACCACACTAGCATGGGCTACGCAGCATACGCCGGTAAATTCCGTCCCTGTAAACGCAGACGCACTTATACCAGGAAACTTGACACATCCGTATGGAGCATATGTGGACTATTAATTCAATGAACCACCACATTTAAGAGGAGACTTTATTTCCACAAATAAAGCAGAAATAGAACAACTAAAGCAGCTGCGGTGTAAGAAAAATGACTGCACGACAATCGATTCCTGAGTCTGGCTATGTTTGCTCTCGCCCAAAGCACGACAATAGGCGGTATAGTAAAGGCAGAAAAGAAACAAACAATGACCAACATTCCAATAGTTGATGGAAGGGCGTGACTAGTGTACGAAAACTAACAGTTACCGCATATTCATCGGGAAAGTATTCAAGTTCAATAAGGACTTAGTGACAATATAAAATTCTTTAAACATAATCTATCATATTTCATTATAAGTACCGCACCTAAGATTTATATTTCATTCTAGAGCCTACGCGAGAGTCTTCTTAATTCATCTGGTGGAGTAAGATGAGCAAATCCTGGAAGGGCCACTGACCTGATACTACTGATACATTCCTTTCAAAATTGATTAACACACGCCAATAAATTGGTTTCAGTAGAGTTGTGGCAGCCGTGATGACATACTCTTCCCACTAGAACCTACCAGAGACTTAAAGACGATCAGAAACAACAATAAGTAAGCACCAAAAAATCAAAGGCTGTATATAAGCTCATCGGAGAGGCATTGGCTGAAGGATTTCAGAGCGTAATTCAAAGGTGTACGGTGCAGTGGCAAGTTTTTGTATCTGATGTTCGAGGATAACGGGGCATCTAACTGTTCTGTGAGACAGCAAAACGCCACCAGTAACAATTTCGATAGTTCATTTTACACTAGCAGCCTTAAAAGTGGCGTATTCAATTTTACGGCAGAACCTAAATCGAGCAGTAATCTAGTCACTTGCGGTTCTAATAGTCCGTCTACGAAACTGGTTCACACGTCGGAGAAAAGAAGAGCAGAGTAAGTCATAACACCTGTTCATTAAATCAGTATGGTATGGTTTTCGACTTTTTTGATGGAGTTCATTATACTATGTTGTTATAGTATAATACACTCACGCTATAACCTCCTCGTTTCCCAACAATGATTCTTTTGCAATGCCTAAGCGGACTTCATGAACAAGTAAGGCTACTTTTATATGCATTAGCACTTAACCCTGCAATATGCTTTCCACGGTATTCAAGTGAAGTGCCAGCATTCACTCACTCTCCGCACGTCCGGACAGTAATACCTGTGGTCGAAGTGTTTTGTGATATTTTGCAAACGTAATATGCTTACTGGCATGATAAATTACAATCGAATTATGACTTCGTGTTGCATCAACCTACAATTTTGTGTAAGGTGGGGGTGAATTAAGTTTTGTTTAACCAGGAAAACAAGTCCCCATAAGTTTAACAATTGGGGTACACGTTGTTCGCCCCAAGACGTTATATAGTCTTCTCTTTCATTCGGTGTCATTAGCTGTTTGGTGAGCGATATCACGCGTCGTAATTTCAGTCAAATAAAAGAACCACCCAGGGGAATATCACAAAAGGACATTGAGCACCGGACGAAAAATATGAGGCAAATGACACTGGAATATGTGGATTTTGAATAAATTTAGATGAGGGAAATCTAACAAATTATGTTACTTGTTTTTTTCACTTGCGCCCTGTAATTGTTACCTCCTATGCTCCTGCTAAGGTGTTGTTTTCGCAAATTTACAGTCAGTAGTATTGGTCTGATGTCGTCTGGCATACGTTTTCCAGCACCTGAACCTCTATGATGCACAGACGTAGACAGTGATACTCATCCGAAAAATCAACCAGTGATTGGTTTTCTGACCACTCACTCGTGTCTACAGCCAATCCATTGCTTAGGAAGTATTACTGAATATCCATGGCCTGTTGCTTGTGTTTGTGTCTACACTCCTTTTGTAATTTAACGACGCATTATTACTGCATACTTCGCCATACCAGATGCACGTGGGCGATACTTTAGACCCGTTACTATGGAAGTATCAGTTATTATTTTATCTTTAGGAAATTTTATAAGGCTTCATTTTCAAAGGGTCCATATCCCGTATTTCCGGACTTTGAACCAGCTTAAACCGCTTGGGTGGGGCGTTCTCCCTTTTTACAACTTTCGTATCGAGGTTGCTTCCGATTCACTTTAAGGTATTACCCTTACTACCAATGTTCTTCATGCTAACCAAATGTATCTTGTTCTGACAAAATGTATAAAGTTGTGCTATAGCATTCACTCCATATAACGTGACTAGGAGTATTAGTGTAAAACCTGAATATAATAAAAACCGATGTTTTGCTTTATATGGCCAAAGCCTTCTCTACTTTTAATATACTCTAAAAGATGACAATAGTGCTGGTGTTCAAATGAATACTTAAATATACAACACCAGTATCAATTTGAGCTAATCTGTTTACTTGTTTCCTTTATTATGTCCTGTAGCCAGTGAAAGTGCTTGTTTATAGTCGGTTCTTATCAGGACATTTCATCTATCCCTTGGTAACACTCCTTCAAGTCTATACGCTCAGTCCAGACTTAAGGAAATAGTCTCTGTAGCGATAATTAGTAGTGATGGTTGACTAGGGAAGAGAGGTAGTGTGGTAGTCATTAGTGATACTTCGCAGTTATTTGACCTTAATTAGAACGATTGAAGTTTTGCAGCGTTATTTGACTGCTCGGTGCAATAGACATGGAAATTCGTTGCTGAATTACTTCGTTTTAACCGACACCGACTCATTCTTTCTGTTCACAGCGAAAGTGTTATTACCTTATTCATTTTATTCTTTAAAAAAAGAATTGCATTTCACTCAACGTCATAGTATCTGACTGACTGATTATTTTCAAGGTAGAACTTTGCATCAATGTGCAGCAGTTCATTTCGGCAGTTTCCTTCCATGTACCACACAAAGCAAGAGAAAAGAGGAAAGAGAAGTTAAAAAGTGAGATAATAACAGAGGTGTAATGGTAAAAGATTAGTAGTATGGAAGAACAATATAATTTTATTGGACTTAAGAAATCACTATGTATAAAAATAAAAGTAGGAAGGAAATAAGTTGCTTGAGGGATCAATATTGCTTGGAATCATTTTTACTAGCGCGCGTTGAGTTTCAATGAGAGTTCGTTGCTTTAATTCATTTATTGTGTGCGGGCTGAGATACTGCCCGGGCGCCCAGACCGAAGCAGGTGGTTTTATTAAGGGACCACCCCCGAGCCTTTGACTTGGAGTCTAATCCGCAAGGCAGCGGAGCAGCGTCAGGAGCTGCATTCCCATGGTTGCCGGTGACCCATATAGGTCCATACGCCATTTGATCCGATTGGATACTGGAGCCCATGTACCCCATGGTAACTGCTTTTAGTTTAACCGCTATCCATAAAACCTCCCTGACATGGTAGGACCTGTAGAGACAGAGTCCCAGTCAGTTCAGCTTGTTGGGTCATTGCAGTATTCAAGCCCGACCACCACGACAAGGTAGCAGTTATCGGTTGATGTGAGGCTGAGGATGTGCGGCGACTGCGTGTTCGACCACCGCTGTCTCCGCAGGATTGCTTGCGTTCGATGGCATCATCGCGTGAGTAATTCTGAGGTTCGGCGGCGTGTGTTTGAACACAGTGGAGATCACCATTCATTGAATGTCAACATCTGGAAACACCGGCTCCGGTGGCTTGGACATGTACTGCGAATGTTACCCTAGAGGCTTCCGTACAGGTCTTGGTTCGCTAGCCCTGGGACGGGATGGAAAAGGCGGAGAATCGGTCAGTCCATGACGTGGCGTCGTGGGATGAAGGATTTTTGTGCTAGATTAGCATCGGTTGGTGTGTCACGATTCCCTGGTTGGGGTCCGAGAGATAGCTCAAATCAATGGCTCGAAACGTTATCGGATATGGCCAAGAATCGTAATCAATGGCGAATGTGTTGCGATTTCCTTCTTTCTTCCCTTCCCGATGATAGTTAACGAACACTGTTTGAACTTGTTAAGCATGAGCGTTTTCCTTCCAGATGAAGTTCTTTTTCCGTTCTCTACTTATATATATATATATATATATATATATCTTTTCCTTCCTTCCTTTTCTTTTCTTTTTGATCTATGTTGTTTTATTATTATTGTGTGGCGCATCTTTCTTGGTGCCATATTGTACCAAGTTTTTTTTATGCGTTTAAATAAATAAATAATAAATAACAAATCACTAAGAGTGAATGCATATGTGCTTTTGAGAAGGATTTTCAGCCACATCATCAATTGCATCCAGCCATCGGTTTTTACCATCCCAATGACCCCAAACAGATACCAGTCTACACCTCCCTTAAGATCTGGTTCAAAATAACTGTTGTGGATTTATTTCATTGACTGATGAAACCACGTTTTGGTTTGACCATCACCCGCTAACTCTTTTTCAACCTGATCCATCCTATGTCGGCTAAGACTTCCCGTCAGTTGAGAAAGGCAATGGCTAGGTGTGCATGCATAACACATATCCTAACCCCTTCAATCAGTGTAAATTCACAGCCTTGTCTAGTGATTTCCCCATGTCATAATGGGTACCTTAAGGCTTGAGTCATGGGTTTAAGGTGTGTTAATTGATGCTTATATTAGTAATGCGATACAGCCTTATGTTTTATTAACTGTCCGTATTTCTCTCACTATGGGAAGTAATCGGTACATGGCTGTTCAAAACCTGAGCAAACTCCTGGAACCTGAGGTGCAAAATTACTTCTCCAATTAACCAGCCATTTACATGATAGTTAAATGTCCAAATTTCATTGTTAGTGTTAAGATACTAACTGAAGCTCTACAAGACGTGAGAGAGCCAAAGGTAGTGGTGGTCCTATGCAGCTAAATAATGCCATCTGAATAAGAATAAATGCAGCAGTTCTTGTCAAGTTTTTGAAATGTTAAGAATCTGATTAGAAACTATGAGTAATAGTCTAAAGTTGTTTACAATAACGCATCTATTTTCAGTCATTATTACCATCCAGATTCTAAGAGTTGTCACTAGTTTTCATCTGATTACTCTCTCTCTGTCGCATATTTTTGCCTTTTAGAGTTTAATTGCATCTATTTGCCACACTTTTTTGTGTACCTTTTCGATCTGTGGCCACTGAGACTGGTACATTTTTCTAAATGCTTACTTTGATAAATCTGCCTTGGGTTTTGCAAATAACAGTGTCGTCATTGACAGTTACGTTAGCATTCATAAAATTTGCTAAATATTTCGAATCCCAGTGGGTGCGTACTGCGATGATTCTCAAACTAGGATGAAACAGCTGTCCAGTACTCCCTGGTTTTCAATGGTTCTCAAACCGATATCAATCCGTGATCAACTCGTAAAAACATAACTAAACCTTACAAACCAAACTGTAGAAAATATTTTTTGCTTATTTTTTATCAAAAGAATTGTTGTCTTATAATTTTTGCTGTTATTTTTCCTTCACGTTCCCAGTGGAACATAGGGCCTCAAGCTAATGACTTGAAGTTTCTGTAGAGGCGTTTAATTTTACAGGATGAGATTGCTAGCCTCATGCCCAACTTTTCCTTTTTACCGGCATTATTTCTGGCTTAGCAAGGTAAAGGAGTGTGTCGGCCAGGGATCGAACCCCGGACCATGTGCATGGTCGGCGAGCGTCCCAACCGCTGTGCCACCGATGCATTTTTGCTGCTAACATGTTTTAATATGGAAAAATCTTTTAAAATTCATTTTGTTTAGTTACTACTGAAGATAGAACGACTGAACGGACGTAGGAAACAGCTGGCGGTAAACCCACCATGTCCCCAGCTCGATCAGGAAACTAAATCCCTATTTGAGGAAGAACTAGCTAAACACATATCTGAGTTCGACAGCTGTGCTCACCCTGAAGAAGCCTGGAAGAATATTCAGTCAGCCATAGATACAGCTGTAAAAGCTGTGAATAAGGTAAATCCAAAGGTGAGTAAAAACCACTGGATTTCGACTGCCTCATCCGAACTGATAGATGCTAGAAGACTTATTCCGGCGAGCTCCGAATTCAATGAGGAGCGAAAGCTGCACAAAAGGAAACTTACTAAAAGTCTCCGCAAGGACCGTGAACAGTGGTGGGTGACAAAGGCGAAAGAGATGGAAAAAGCATCGGCGATAGGCAACTCTTCAGACTCATCAGGGAAACTGGTGGGAGAAGGCAAATCATAAGTGAGACTATTTCTGAGAAAAATGGCTCCTTAATTAGCTCTCAGGATAGACGCCTTGAACGCTGGAAAGAACACTTTGAGGAACAATTTAACTTGCCTACAGCCACACTGAACCTCCCCGCCATCCAGCACACACCCGAATGGGATATAGACACTGGTCCGCCGTCTGTAAGTGAGGTCACAAAAGCTATCAGTAATTTGAAACGAGGCAAAGCGGCAGGACCCGACGGAATTATTCCGGAGGTGTTTAAATATGGGGGTGACATACTAGTTTGTAGATTAACTGAGGTACTAGGCAAAGTCTGGGAATCAGAGACAGTGCCATCAGACTGGGGTAAGTCACTTATTATACCGATATTCAAGAAGGGAAACAAGTCCTCGTGTGATAATCATAGGGGGATCAGCCTAACGAACATAGTCTCTAAAATCCTAGGCTCAGTAATCATGCATAGACTAAGCAGAACTCGGGAGGAACAGACAAGGGAAAATCAAGCAGGCTTTAGACCAGGTAGAGGGTGCATAGATCATATCTTCACTCTTCGACAGATTCTAGAACATAGACACACTTTTCGGCGTCCAACAATTGTCATATTTCTTGACTTGAAGGCGGCCTTCGACTCCGTGGATCGAAAGGTACTATGGCAATGTCTGACTGTGAAGGGAGTGCCAAGAAAGTACATTGCACTAATCAAGGCACTCTATTCAAACTCACGTAGTCGTGTAAGGGCTTATGGGGAATTGTCATCTGAATTGGTAACAACCAGTGGTGTCCGACAGGGATGTCCACTTTCCCCATTTCTGTTTAACTTCATCATAGATATGCTAATGGAAGTATCCTTAACTGAACGTAACGACTTAGGAATCGACTTGTTACCAGGGAATAGTCTTATGGACTTAGAATATGCAGATGACATAGTCCTGTTAGGGGAGGATGCTGACAAAATGCAGAGTCTTCTGAACACCTTGAGCAGCAATCTTCGTATGTTTGGCATGCGATTCGCCCCTGCAAAATGTAAGATGCTGCTACAGGACTGGACCACGTCAACTCCTAACTTAGTGATAGGGAGTGAAGTGATAGAACATGTTGACCACTTCACCTATTTGGGAAGTTGTATTAGCACCAACGGACTGATTGGCGATGAAATCTCAGCACGGATCCGAAAAGCTCGAGCTGCTTTCGCTGACTTACACCATCTCTGGCGTAGGCGTGACATCCGGTTATCAACCAAGGGACGTGTGTACTGCTCATCAGTTCGCTCCGTCCTTCTCTATGGCTCTGAAACATGGCCAATACGCGTTGAAGACATGAAAAGGTTGACTGCTTTCGATCATAGATGTCTGCGATCTCTGTCTCACGTTAGGTGGTTTAATAAGGTAAGTAATGTTGACGTTAGGCGTAGAGTGTTGGGCAAAGAGGGAAAATCAATCGACGAGGCTATAAAGTTACATAGACTGAGATGGCTAGGTCACGTGCTGCGCATGCCTAACCACCGCCTCCCCCGACGGGCATTACTAGCTGATATAGGTGCAGGTTGGAAAAGAGCCAGTGGTGGCCAAACAAAAACATGGCATCAATCCATGAAATCCTTGACAGTTAAACTGAGTCAGGTAGGGAGATGCAGACTCCCGGGTTGGGGCCCTCGGGACTCTAGGAATCAATGGCTGGAGACAATAGGTGACATGGCTCAAAATCGTTGTCAATGGCTAGCGCAGATGTATTCAGTCTCTGTAATCTTTCATATTCCTTTCTACCATTACCCATTCTGTTTCACTCTTATACTTGTCAGACTGTATTGATTCTCTTCACTCATCTTCTTGTCTACCTCTGTGTGCTATTTGGAACGTGGCAACTCGAACTGCTGCACTTGGGTGCCAAGTTCTATGTTGAATCCAGACAGAGACAGACAGATAGAATAAAAGTGACTTAAATTCAATTTTCGTTAAGTTAAAAACGCTTTAATGAATGACGTACTCTTCTTATTACTTTTTCACTTTCAGTAACCTGTTTTCAAACAATGGAATCCCTCACAAATATTACCTATGCGAGACAGCTATGGCGAATCACTTCGCGCAGATGAATTTAGCTTTACCTGTCGATGCAACCAAAATTGTGAATAATAGTAATAATAATTTGCCTTCGGTCGCTGTTTCTCCTTCGTTTCCATTTGATCCGAGTCAGGTTGCTTCAGCCCATCATATCTATCAAAAGTTATCGGTATGCACAAGCAAAGAAGCAAACACCAATAACTCTGATAATGAAGATGAAAGTGATGAAGATACAGAAGACAATAGGTTTGTGTTTAGCCTCTGCATGGTTGATTATTTATATTTGAAATTGTGGTTTATCACTTTGAAAATTCAATACCCAGTAATTCCATCACACTTATGCCACTCTTTGTTTCAAGATTGAAAAAATGGTTAGTTTAGTTACGTTTCAAAATACGTGTGATTCATGACGTGATGCATGACTCTGTTGAGACGCGTTAAGTTACATTACGCTTATTTGTGCGTGATATCTGTTTATGTTCAGTCTTCTAAATCCATGACGTTAGAAGTCTTTCTTGTCTCTATTTCTATGAAAGTCTTTATTGTAAGGAGCACTAGTTTTGCAACACATACAGTTATTAGTCTGACGGCTATTAAGTCAGATTTTCATTAGTAAGGATTTGAAACAAGCAGAATATTATCAAAGATGTGTTCAAGTGTCATCCAAATTAATAATAAATCTAGGAAAGAATTAAACAGTTGTTTTAAATGTGCTTTCCTGCAGTCAAAAAGACTTCATTGAGCATTCCTTTCGATTCCTGATCTTTGTTATACCCCTCGCACAGTTCACCATCTTGACTGGATGTTTTGAGCATTCAGTTTTCAATCATTGGGATTTCACTATGTATTTTCTTACTAAGATTCGAATTTCTAGAAGGCGTCAGTAGCTTTCTCACATGAAAATCTGTTTGCAACTATGGCATTATATTCCCATGCTTTTTACTTTATGTTTTGAGTTAATGGTCGACTTTAAACCTATTTAAATATCCTGTTGATGGTTAGTAGTCATCGAAACGGTGATCTGGGAGTTAGTGTATGAGGGTTACTAAAGGGTGTTAAAGAATGTATACTGCGATGTTATTCGAAGTTACTCACTCCCAGAACTCTGCACTTATTGCTTGATACAATGGTTGCTTAAAAGCATCCTTCAACACCACAGGGTAAAAGATGGAAACCGTTGGGAATATTGATGCACACACCATGATTTTATTTTTAATAATTTATTTTGTCTTCTCTTTTGCATAATTCATATGAGATGCTCTCTGGCGACTGGCCCTATTCTATTTTACCTTCCCATTGGAAACTTGTGTACTTTATAACTCAAAGCTTTCAGTATCTAGTTCACCCAAAAAGTTGATATCACCTCCAGCTTAAACTACAGACTTGTATGTGCTGAAAAAGTCACAACTATCATATTTCAATGCATTGTCGATAACCCAATTATTAGTGGTTGCCCATTAATTTGATCATTTTGCGCAGCCGTTATTTGAAAGGTGACTATACTATCTAGCTGTTGAAACCCCCAAAGGTAGGAAGTGATTCAAACCCATGACTAACTGGCAAAAGTGACAAGTCAATAAGCCGCAATCTCATAGTGCATTTATCAAATAACTTTAGTCATTCAGCCTTCATAATATTTCGTAGTATTCTTACATATAGCCTATTGTTAATTATTTATGAACTAAAACATATAATCTTAACAAATATCTTTTGCAAATTCATTTCTTGTTTCTTGTTCGACCCGCTTGTAGGTCGCCTTTACGATTTTCAGACGACTTAAAAGATCATTTAAGATGTAGTCGAGTTAATCCAACCAATGCATTTCTAAAAGGACTGTAAGTCTGATTATTTAGTATGAATAATTTGTGCATCTTTTTCGGAATTTCTACTATTCTCCACCATAGAATGATTTTCTATTTGATTTACGGTTGTCTAATGCAACTTTGTGGGCAATAGCATCAGTTTATGCATATGTATGAAGCGTTTATTGATGTTTTAACCAAAAGTACGTTATTCTCAACTTGCCAGATATTTATTTATTTATTTACAGGTTGACCAGAAGGTCAACTAGACGATGCTTCAAGGGGAACAAGAAATGTTAAGAGAAAGAGCAGAGGACATTTTGTCCTAGATTTCACTGTTAGCCACCACGTATCAAATCTACAAACCTAGTCAGTCTTCTAAAGAAACTTGTGTTCCATGAAATGGTCTTTTAATATTATTATGATGTCTAGAGAATGCCCATCAGAAATTTTTTCTAGCCTAATGCTAAGAAATGAAATGACAAAGTTTACTATTGTGCCCAAGCGTTTGCATGATTCAATTGTTTTATATAAAGTTTTTAAAATGTATAAATATGGCTTACTGACAAATGTATACATTAACTAATTTCCTAGGCTTTCATCTGAACCATCACTTGCAATAGTGCCTTTCAATCCAGATCGACTCAAAGTATTAAGTCCTTCTAATACTTCAAATGAATCTTCTAAAGAAGACTCTGGCATCTCAGCATTATCAGATGATCAGTTACTTGATTCTGTTACCATTTCACCCTCTTCGACTTTCATAAGTGATAATCCGTCTAGCATGGATATTGACTTAGACATCCCCGTATAACAAACAGATGCAATCTTTTGGTGAGTTAGACTTCACTTTTCTCTAGACCATTTCCGTAAATAATACAAGTTAATGTTACATGTTTAGGTAAATAATTAAATATAAAATGTGGCCAACACATTTCAGTTATTGGTGAGTATCTGTTTTGGGGAGATTGAATCCATCCCTAATGTTAACAGGTTGACTATCAGGTGTTTATGAATTAATACATCCAGTCATTCGTGACATTGTCAGCTAACTACTTCAAATATCCAAATTAAAAGTATTCCATTTATATATCTTAAAATTATTCTAAGGTTTTTTGTAAAGTAGTTAAATCTTTTTCGTAATTTATAGTGCTTTGTTCTGTCTGTGTTAATACTTTGCATATACGCTTATACTGACGAAATCTCAGCACAGATACAGAAGGCTGGTTTCGCATACGCCATCTCTGGCTTAGTGGACTTGATATCCGGCCGTCGACCAAAGATCGTGTGTACTGCTCAGCAGACGTTAGCTCTGTCCTCCTTCATGGCAGTGAGTGAGACATGGCCATTGAAAGCGGAAGATATGAAAACGCTGACTAACTACCTGCATTCTATCTCACTGGTTAAATGGTGTAATAAGGTGAGCAATATTGAGGTTAGGCATTGACTGTTGGGTAAAGAGGGGTAATCACTAGACGAGGCTGTGAATTTACACTGATTAAAGGGGTTAGGATATGTGTTATGCATGCACGCCTAGCCATTGCCTTTCTCAACTGACGGGAAGTCTTAGCTGACATAGGATGGATCAGGTTGGAAAAGAGCTAGTGATGGTCAAAGCAAAACATGGTTTCATTAGTTAGTGAAATAAATCCACAATAGTTATTTTAAGCCAGCCATGTAGGGAGGTGTAGACTTGTGTCTGTTTGGGGTCCTCGGGGTGGTAAAATACCAATGGCTGGTTACGATTGGTGGTGTCTCAAAACCGTTCTCAAAGGCACAGATGCATCCACTCCTTGTGACTTAAAATGTCGAGTAAAACTATATTGTTCTTCCATGTTACTAGTCTTTTTCTCTCACAGTTTTGTTTATTGTCTATGTTTTGAATCTCTCTTCACTCTCTTCTCTTACTTTGTGTACTACATGGAAGGGGAATGGCAACTCGAACTGCCACACGTCTGTGCACAGTTCTACGTTGAAAACAGTCAGTCAGTCGCATGTACTGTGTTTTCACCACTAGTAGAATTCTGTGTATAAAAATTTAAATGTCTGTAGGCATCATTGTGTCATTATACGACAGTACCTAGTACAATGACTTTTACATCTAGTTCTATATGCATTGAAGCATACAATTTTCTGGTTACAGTGATATCTACATTTGGTTTTTCATTGACCAATGTTCCAGATTTCGTTTCTGTACGTAGATTCAAAGCGGGTAGTAATTACATTAATGCTCTTTCTAGTGGGGTTCCTTGATGTTTTTAATGTGTGAGCAACAAATTTTTTTATGATTGCCATTGTTGGACAGATTTCAACCAACTGAATACAAAAGTTATCCTTTATGCCATGAAGTTACTGCATTAATTTCAAGTCACAAATCACTCGAATTTAGTGTTTATTGTTTGAATGAATGGTTATATCCGATGAATTTATTCAAAAAATACTAAAACATTCTGGCTCTGCTAAATTAGTGTTACATAATCTTTGAATCTGTGCAAACTTTCTTATTTCTACAACCTGGGGTCTGTGAATAGTCTGTCTTTTATGGATAGTTCTTATATACCCTTATTAGCAGTCGGTTTGATGAACAGATATATGGATTGCGTAATGCATAATTTTGGAAAAATGAAGAGCAATTAAGGAATAAGCGTGTGCACAGGTTGATTACGTAACAGATTGTTAAAGAAAATAAAACAATTTGGACAATGATAACTTGTAACTAAAGTTGAAGTGGTCATAAGAATAAAATAATTTTTACAAGGATAACACGTAATTAAAGATGAAGTAGTCAGAAAAATAAAGTAATTTGGACAATTATAGTTTTTAAAAAGAAAAATTATTCTAGGGGTAGGGTGATGGAGTAGTCCGGTTTATACAGTCATGTAACGATGGCCAAGGTAAGGAAAGTGGCTGTACAAATTTCTTCTGAACACACAAGTTTGGCTTCTTCAGGTGGATTCCTATTGCTTCAGCTGTATGTAGAAGACGAACTCGTAAAGCAAAATTAAGATTAGTAGGAATGCGATAAATAATTTTAAATGCAGTATTAACATCAACCTTATTCTCACTATCTACAAGGTGGGCTAAAATAGAGCTACGAATAGATTTTGTTTGTCCCTTGCTTAACCATGCCGGATGATGTTCGGAAATACGATGATGAACCTGCCTAATTGTTCGCCCGATGTAGCTGGCTCCGCAGCTGCAGTCAAACTGGTAGATACACATAGAAGAGGCGAATTTAGGTAGTTTATCCTTATTACTCGAACGTAGGATAGGTGTGGTTGTGAAGAGACAGTGTACCTCTGCTGCATAATAAGCTCTTTTAACTGCATTCTTCAGTCGCTGTGTTATTACTTCGCTGATGTTGTCGCCGAGGAACTGAAGTTTTATGAACAGTGGCTTTTTCGGAACTGTTGCCAAAGTCACTGTCCTAGGTGATGAATTCATATTTTTCTCAATAAACTTATCTGGATAACCATTTTTTCTAAGTAATTCTCTAATAATCTTAAGCTCCTCATTGAAGCAGTCGTCTGAACAGATTAACCTAGCTCTATGAACCAGACACTTTACCAGGTTGCGTTTATATTTCAAAGGTACAAAACTCAAAAAATGAGTGTACTGTCCTGTTGTAGTAGGTTTCCTGTACACACTCCTTCTTAGTGTGCCATCTTCTTTCCTTGCCATGAAGACGTCTAGGAATGAGATACAGTCATTACTTTCTTTCTCTATAGTAAAGTTTATTGCTGAATGGGCATCATTAAACTTGTCAAGGATGTTCATTGCGTCGTCCTCGTTTTTTATGACCAGAAATGTATCATCCATATATCGAAGCACTAGATAAGCTCCGAAATAATGAGAATATAATAATTTCGAAACCCGATAAAGGCTCTGGAGTAGTAATAATGAATAAGACTGAATACATAGATAAGATGAATGGAATACTCAGTGATCATCGGAAATTTCAAAACATCACGTCTTCCGTCGATCCAACAGAAAAAGTAGAGAAACAGCTAATCGAGTCACTAAAAAGACTTAAACAACGAAGTAGCATCATAGAAGGTTTATATGAATCTCTAAAGCCTACTGGCACGATTACACCAAGATTATATGGACTTCCAAAAGTGCACAAAGTTGGTTTACCACTTCGACCAGTGTTAGATATGTGTAATTCCCCATACCATGCCACAGCAAAATGGTTAGTCAAGCTCCTGAAACCTCTGCATAATGAGTTGGTAAAACATAGCGTAAATGGCAGTTTTGAATTTGTTGGAAAAATAAGAGATCTTAATGTGAAGGACAAGTTTATGATATCTTTTGATGTATCCTCCTTGTTCACCAACGTACCGTTAATGGAGACAGTGGATTTTATATGTGAGGAGATTACTACACGAAACATAGACATCGGCATTTCCGTATCCACCTTGAAGGAACTTATTTTAAGATGTACAATGAACGTTCATTTCTTATTCAATAAGGAATATTACAGACAAATTGATGGTGTAGCTATGGGTTCCCCATTAGGCCCAATCCTAGCTGATTTTTTCCTCGCTAAGTTAGAGAATGGACCACTGAAAGGAGTAATTAGTGACTTGGATTTCTACTGTCGATATATGGATGATACATTTCTGGTCATAAAAAACGAGGACGACGCAATGAACATCCTTGACAAGTTTAATGATGCCCATTCAGCAATAAACTTTACTATAGAGAAAGAAAGTAATGACTGTATCTCATTCCTAGACGTCTTCATGGCAAGGAAAGAAGATGGCACACTAAGAAGGAGTGTGTACAGGAAACCTACTACAACAGGACAGTACACTCATTTTTTGAGTTTTGTACCTTTGAAATATAAACGCAACCTGGTAAAGTGTCTGGTTCATAGAGCTAGGTTAATCTGTTCAGACGACTGCTTCAATGAGGAGCTTAAGATTATTAGAGAATTACTTAGAAAAAATGGTTATCCAGATAAGTTTATTGAGAAAAATATGAATTCATCACCTAGGACAGTGACTTTGGCAACAGTTCCGAAAAAGCCACTGTTCATAAAACTTCAGTTCCTCGGCGACAACATCAGCGAAGTAATAACACAGCGACTGAAGAATGCAGTTAAAAGAGCTTATTATGCAGCAGAGGTACACTGTCTCTTCACAACCACACCTATCCTACGTTCGAGTAATAAGGATAAACTACCTAAATTCGCCTCTTCTATGTGTATCTACCAGTTTGACTGCAGCTGCGGAGCCAGCTACATCGGGCGAACAATTAGGCAGGTTCATCATCGTATTTCCGAACATCATCCGGCATGGTTAAGCAAGGGACAAACAAAATCTATTCGTAGCTCTATTTTAGCCCACCTTGTAGATAGTGAGAATAAGGTTGATGTTAATACTGCATTTAAAATTATTTATCGCATTCCTACTAATCTTAATTTTGCTTTACGAGTTCGTCTTCTACATACAGCTGAAGCAATAGGAATCCACCTGAAGAAGCCAAACTTGTGTGTTCAGAAGAAATTTGTACAGCCACTTTCCTTACCTTGGCCATCGTTACATGACTGTATAAACCGGACTACTCCATCACCCTACCCCTAGAATAATTTTTCTTTTTAAAAACTATAATTGTCCAAATTACTTTATTTTTCTGACTACTTCATCTTTAATTACGTGTTATCCTTGTAAAAATTATTTTATTCTTATGACCACTTCAACTTTAGTTACAAGTTATCATTGTCCAAATTGTTTTATTTTCTTTAACAATCTGTTACGTAATCAACCTGTGCACACGCTTATTCCTTAATTGCTCTTCATTTTTCCAAAA